TGTAACAAGGCCCCAATTTTAAGAGCAAGGACTTGCTTTTTAAATGTAAACAAGAGGTGCTTCCTAATGACTCACATGATGCCTCTTCACAGGTTTGATAGGATTACTTTACAACAGCGAATGCCTTTTAGAAAACCTATTAGTGCATGTCTTCCAGATTGTTTTATTGATAAAACAATAAAGCAATGCAACAGAGCCAAATGGACGAATACAAACCAGTATAGTTTGCTCATTGATGTTATCTCATAAAGCAATTATGTTGGATCATTGCCGTAATTGCCTATAGAATGTGTTTGTACTACAGCAACAGGTATCTATATCTCTATCTATGTCCAACCTTCGAATAGAAAAAGTACATAAAAACACCTTTGAATAGTCATAGTTCCTACTTGTGAACTCGAGTCGAATTGGTCATTATTTGCACTATGTTAATGAAAAACCATGGACGAAAGTGTAATTGCCTGAATTTAATTAAAATTAAACACATTATTACTTTGTATAACCTGTTAATTGATGTCAAAAAGTTATTAGGTAGCTGGTAACAGTTAAAACAATTGTGAAGTGCCTGAGGAGAGTTTACCTTTATCTCTGTTTCATAGATTTACAGAGCTGAAAATCCTTCTCTAGGATTCCCTCTTTCATTATCTCCAGCTTCACTTCGGCTGCTCTAGTTATTTTAGAAAGGTATTCTAACAGCTGAAAGACAGTGACAATATATCTATGACACCCTTAATTGTCCATATACGGCTTTGTTGAATACTCCATTCTGATTGGTCAATTTGGACATTCCATGGGTTGTTTATTTTTCGCTAAACAACAGCCTGCTGCTAAGGAGAACAGACCGTTGCTAAGGAGAACATACGATACGATACGATACGATATTACTTTATTTGTCAGATCAAGTCTGAAATTTGACTTGCGTCACAGCAGCTCCATGTCCAACATCAACAGACAAATATCCAGACAAAAATACATGAAACACAAACAACAAACATTTAACATAACAGCACAATCAGTGAGAGAAAAGCTGCTCAAAGAGCCTTCAGCGTGCATTTGATCTGGGATTTAGCTCTGTATTTACTGAGAGGATTGACTGATGCACAAAGGAGTGCTTCAGTCTGACTTTATTGAATCGTGGGACCCTGTATCTCCGATTAGATGGTAGCAGTTCATATTCACTGTTCAGAACATGGTTTGGGTCAGAGATTACCGACAGACCGTTGCCGTTAAAGAGAACAGACCGTTGCTAAGTAGAACAGACTGTTGCTAAGGAGAACAGACTGTTGCTAAGGAGAAAAGACTATTGCTAAGTAGACCAGACCGTTGCTAAGGAGAACAGACTGTTGCTAAGGAGAACGGACCATTGCTAAAGAGAACAGAACATTGCTAAGGAGAAGAGACTGTTGCTAAAGAGAACAGACCGTTGCTAAGGAGAACAGACTGTTGCTAAGGAGATCAGACCATTGCTAAAGAGAGAAGACTGTTGCTAAGGAGAAGAAACCGTTGCTAAGGAGAAGAAACCGTTGCTAAAGAGAACAGACTGTTGCTAAAGAGAACAGACTATTGCTAAGGAGAACAGACAGTTGCTAAGGAGAACAGACCGTTGCTAAGGAGAACAGACCATTGCTAAAGAGAAAAGACTGTTGCTAAGGAGAAGAGACCGTTGCTAAAGAGAACAGACCATTGCTAAGGAGAACAGACCTTTGCTAAGGAGAACAGCCCATTGCTAAGGAGGATCAACGGACTACGTGCATTCATATCAGTCCGCAGAAAGAAGTCCGGTCAATTTAAAGTCAGCTGTGGTCAACAAACATTGGAATACTTTTTAAACGGGGATAACAAAGGGCACACAATAATAATAACTACCAAATGCCAAATCCATGCTGTTATCATTTTTACTTTCATAATTGAATTTACATTTAATTAAAAACAGTCACATGCTGGTGAGTGTGAGTGATCTTCAGGTTCAGTGAGGTGTTTCTGTGCTGTATCTTCAGCAGCTTGTATGCATTGTTCAGGCGATGTTACATCACTTCCTGCCCACCTCCTTCACTGGAGCCCCACAGATCAGTGTCACGCATTTCTGCAGAAACCTCGGTGGACATGCAAACTGGATTATGTAATTTGTTTTTATTACTCACAGAGAATGAAGAGCAACACGCAATAAAGCTGAAGATTAAAATGCTTACGCCTTCATCCCCTTGAGTTGTCTTTCTTCCCTCTTTGTTTTTATTCCCGTCAGCCTTTCACTCATTAACACTTTTTATGATTTCATTGTCTTTCCTTTCATTTTTCAGGCCTTTTGGGACAAATTTCAACTGGCCTCTTACTTTGACAGCTTTTAAAACCCACTTAGACCAGACAACCATGAAGATTAAAGTGGACCTATTATGCTATATTGGAAACATATATTGTAGGGCCATACCTATACAAAACATGTATGTGAGGTTTTCTGCTTAAAATACCAAACAGATCCCCCATTGTAGCCATGCCTCATACTGCTCAAACCCCTCTATTGCAGCCCTGTTAGGGAAACGCAGATTTTGGGTCCTTAGCTTAAAAAATAAATAAGAGGAGGCGGAGCTAATGCCTGATCAGAATTCTACCGGAGATAAAGTTAAATTCTGCTGTGATAAAACGCCATCCTGTTCTAAACCACATCAAGGATTATTTCTGAAACAGTATGGAGCTCAAATGCTTTTTCTCTTGCACGTTTATCACAAGGTGAGTTCCTTTTTTTATTTCCTGCTTTTTAAACACATGTGCTCTCCAGTACAGGTTAGCTCTGAGTGTTAGCGAGGCTTGCTAATGTAAACAAAGATGAGATTACGTCCAAAACACGTCAGGCATTGTTTCTGATAGCAACTTTCTGTGGGTCCACCATCCGAAATTACGTCATATCGACAGCAAATCTGTATCCGCTCGTTGTACCCCCGTTTTTTAAAGATTTGGGTACGGAAGAAAAGAGAAAAGGTTTTATTTTCTGACGCTGCATGAGTTCCCCGACACACCGGGGACACATAGTTATGTATAAAAGACATCAAAAAGTGCACTTTGCATGATAGGTCCCCTTTAAGTTGAGAATACCCACTCATCCAGACACTCGCACATCTGGTGAATCTGGTGAAGCGTACCGTACATAAACCAGACATTACACAGGGTGAGAATACTAATACAAAATAAGGGAAACCGATTAACTAAAAACTCAGATCATGACACGCTTAACGGAAACCCAAAGTCACGGCCAGTGTCAAAGGGATTACTGACATTTTTTTCCATATTTAAGAACCTCACGTTCATTTAGATCTCTTTTCCAAAAACAATTTACTGCCCTGTGCACAGCCGAGCAGAAAACATGACCAGAAGAGGAGGAAAAGAGCATCGAGCCCCTTGGGATTGTTCTCAAATATAAACAAAGTCAAAGCCAATAAGTTGCATTAGCATCATCGTATTAAAGCTGAACTAGGTCACAGTGTTTCCCAGGTTAATTATGGCTGAGCCCTGTCCAATATCTATTTGTGTCTGGCAGGCCTCTATGTGTCCAACGAGACTCGATGTGACATTTTCAAAAATCAATAACTTGGTGAGTCGGATATTTGTCTCAGAGGCGAGACAGCTGACAGCTGCTCATGTAAATCTGTGAATCTTCACATCTGGACCGTCAGTGGTGCTGCTGACACTGAAGGCTTGCAGACATATGCAGAATATTAAGGCAACTCCCAGATGGGTGGAAAAATGAGTGGTGGACAATTATAACCACATGCTGTCTCTCCTTTTGCAAGACATATCTGTTCTCTTTTTATAAGGTTCCTTAGGGAGGGAAATGACCCAGAAGAAGTGGCAGCCATGATGAAAGCTGTTCAAGTTTTCTAAATAATAGGAAAGGGGCTTCAATGCTTCCTTTGTTATCTCAGTTAGCAGAGGATATACTGGACCGTGCTTTACCAAAGGAAAGGAGATCATTCCGTCCCACAATTCCGCCTTAAAACGGTTCCCTCTTCTGTGTGGTTTAGCCGAGCCATTTTACAATATTTCGGCTATAAAACTTGTTACATATCAGGGATGAGAAAATCCTTCGTCCTGCATCACAGGCAGATTTAATTCATCAGACGGTGACTCGACAACTGTGAGAACCCAATGGAGAATGACAAAGAAAATGGACAATAAATAAGTAAGCACCATTAAAAATGCACCACACATACATGTGCATACATCAGTGAAAACAAAGTTTGGCACACTGGGGGAATTATTTCTTATTAATGTTAAACCTACTTTCTCATTTGGACGATTCCAACGAGACACCTCCTATTGTCCGTCAAATAGAGGACAACATCATGCAGAACTTCCAGTTATAAAAGATCTTCATCATGCAATGCAACCACTGTAAAACCTGCTCTGGGAACATCTCTTGTTGCTGATAAGAGGTTTGAATCAGTGCAGCTGCAGAAAGTACAATTCTCTGCTCAATGTTCCCTTCACGGCCCTCAACAGACCAAAAAACCTTCTTTCTTTGAATGTGTTTTGTGCTAATTGAGGTATTTCTCAAGCTCCAGGTGGCTCACTGACATCAATAAATCATTACCACAGACAAATGAAATTACTGCAACACCATTTCTTGCATTGTGGATCAGAGGCTGAGGGTTTAAGTACTCAATTGCATTGTTCATACATAACATAAAGAGATGCAAGGTGTGAAATGCAGATGGAAAAATATATCCTTTTCAGTAATCAGGCCGAAGAAAACATTGAAAACCTTCTAGGCGTTCCACTAGCTGTTTTCCCCTGCTTCAAATCTTTATGCAAATACAACATTGCATCATTGATATCAATCTTATCATCTAGTTAAAACATTTCCCAATATGATGATATGTTCATTTAAATGCTGTGAAGTGTATTTAAAAACTGTAAAATATTCACAACCCTCAAGAACTGTGACGACACTTTGACTTTTTCCAAAACTAATAAGACAACAAAGCATTACAAAAACAGGCATCACTCACCTCTATGAGTTTGCGCTCGTAGCTGGCGGCCAGCTCCTCGATGTCCTCCATGGATTTATTCTGCGGGACGGGGGCCTGCTCTTCACTCGACTGCAACACACACAGAGCTGCAGACACACAAAGACAAAAGCGGCGCTCCGTTTACTCAGACGTACAGACACTGTGACATGTCGATAGCACACACACAGCGGGGAACAACTCTTCTGACAACCAATTATAAACGCTGCGTTTCTGCCAATTATGCACATTGTGCTTCCCTCTGTAGCGCGATGTGTCACCTGCGGCTGTTTGATGCTTTTGTTTCAGCTGCGAGGCAAACAATGCAGATCTATATAATAAACACATTACCAGCCGAGGCAAGAGCCAGGGATTTCCATTTTATTTAATTATTGTCACACATTCAAGTCGATATGAGTCACGCACGGAGAAGAAAAAAACTCTCGCAGTCAGAGGCGTAGAACGACACCTATATGCACACAAATACAAACACTATTCCTTTTATTAGAAAACCATACTGTCAAAATGATAAACTCCCTACTTTCGCTTGTTTTACTCTCTGTTCGTTGCTTATTGTTTCTTTCCACTACTGCAGGGTAAAGCTCCACTTCTGAGGCCGTAAACATGAACTAATCAGGTTCCCACAGCGGAGCAGGGCACAAGTCGGAGCTATCTATCTCTGTGGTGCTTGGGAAACTTTTTTTTCACCTCAGCGAAAAGCAAATTAACGCTCTCTTCCAGCGTGCTGCAACACCTAGACAAACACACTGAGGTGAGAGATAGGAAGCGAGAGGAGAAGTAAAGTACAGAGACAGAAATCCAGCGTGACCAAAGGCTGCACAGAACTCAGATAAAAGTGTGACGATGGCAACTCAGGGAAGAGTTTTGGAATACAGCTGGACTTTGATTAAATAAAAGTGAAACCCAAGCAACTGTGAGAAAAGTCTAGACGGAGCGAGCAGGTATCGATAGAGGAGGCTCAGTGTAGGTCCAAACAGACGGGACAGCAGGGCGAAAGCTGCTGAGAAGGAATCAATAGCAGGTACAGGTAGAGAAATAAGAGCACTGTGGGATAAAGTCAGCCAATGGACTGAGGACACTCACACACAACATGCACTCTTCAAATGCATTCTCAGATTGATAGATTTGCTTCCTGGAGAGACTTTGTGGCCATTCATAGCATGTGAATTAACTTTGAAATATACCCGAAATTAATAACATACCCAAATAAGTTCAGTTTTATGATTGGATGAGATGAAGAAAAAGCTGGATATCTTCACATTCAGCTTTTCGATTTGACTGATTGAAAAAGATGCTACACAAATGTCCGTATGAACACAAAATCCAGACAAGATTTTGATCAGAAACGTAAAGGTTACAGACACAAAAGCTTCAAACACATATAGAAGATTGTACATAGTCATGAGCTCTCATACACTCTCTCTCTCTCTTACTTACACACACATACAGAAATGCCTAACCCTGCCTCAGGTAAAGGGGAACAGCAGCACAGCTTATCTCCGGCCCACCAATAGTATCGTACTCAGTCAGGAACCTAATAGCCTAGAAACCACACACACACACACACACACACACACACACACACACACACACACACACACACACACACACACACACACACACACACACACACACACACACACACACACACACACACACACACCACACACACACACACACACACACACACACACACACACACACACACACACACACACACACACACACACACACACACACACACACACACACACACACACACACACACACACACACACACACACACACACACACACACACACACACACACACACACACACACACACACACACACACACACAGGTCTCTTTAGGTGAGTCTCTAGGTAATAGATGAAGGTACATACTGTATGTAATTTGCTCTAATTCCTAACGTGGGTGAAAGCCTTCATAAAAAAGACAAGTTGTTGTTTTTGCCCTCAGAAAAGTTACAACACCAAAGAGTTAACGGAACAATAGAGAAGATATTTACTGACCTTGTCAGAAAAAAGGCTTACTTAGTCTGTTTGATTGTTATTATATTAAGAAAAATATAATATTGACAAAGATTTGAATTAAAAGTCCATAAAAATATCACTCATAATCTGCTCAAAATGTATTCTAATCGCTTGTTTTACACAACTTTCCTGCTGTTATTGTGTTCACTGGTTTGGTTAATTGCACAGTTCATGAGTTGTTGTTATTATTATGCACTGAATATTATATGAAATATCCATTAAATGTGTCACTTAGTCATGGGTCATCAGTTTAGTCCATGATAGAAAAGGGTTCCCTTAAGGGAAATCGATGGGAACACATCTGTGTGTGTGTGTGTGTGAGTGTGAGTGTGAGTGTGAGTGTGAGTGTGAGTGTGAGTGTGAGTGTGAGTGTGTGTGTGTGTGTGTGTGTGTGTGTCTGTCCCATTTCTCAGTCTGTGTCCCCCTGGGTTTTCACCTGAGTGTCTGTTTTCTCCAGAGACGCCTCTCTAATGATCACAGTGTGTGAGATAATGAGCCACTTTAGTGTGGAAGTCCACTGAGACTCACACACACACACACACACACACACACACACACACACACACACACACACACACACACACACACACACACACACACACACACACACACACACACACACACACACACACACACACACACACACACACACACACACACACACACACACACACACACACACACACACACACACACACACACACACACACACACACACACACACACAGACACACACACCTGACGGACACACACACACCATACATTCCCACACGGAGGGGAATTTCCTAGAAATTGACCTAAATGTTCAAATGCTTCCATCCAGAAAACATTACAGCTACAGATGTATTCCTTTACAATCTGCTAAGCGTTCTGTACTTATACCCACGTGTCATGTTAATATGATGGATAAACGTGGTTCATTTGTTATTTCTAACAATGTGTTATACAACAAATGATCTATTAAGGTTTTTGAATTAGGCAATAAAAGTCTGCTTGATCTGTTTACGGAATCAAAACAAAAAATCCTCAATTTGAATAAAATTATTCATCAGGTAAACTGAGACAACACTTTAATTAAATCAACTTTGAATTCTTCCAAAAATTGTGATTTCTACTACATCTTCTACAGTTGGGATAAAAGTGATGATGATTTTGAGTTTATTTTCCCTTTCTTTCCTGGAAAGAAAGCAGTATTGACGGCAGTAAGAAGGTTTTTATTGAAAGGCTGAACGCCAACTCATATGGATTGCCAAAGCCTACGCCTGGAACAGAAAAATATCAAATATTGGCGTGATGTTTTACGCTTAACCATTTTAATGAGCAAAATGGAGTTTGTTGACATTTAAAATGTTAGTTTTACTCAAGAAGTAGAAATAGATGAAACCATCACACTCTTAATTACAGCCTGTGAAGGGACAGTGAGGGTGAGACATAAATGGTATTAAATAAAGCACACGTTAATCATATTACAATTAAATAAGTACACACGCAAGGCAGCTTAGATAGGTACTTTAAGAATTAAGTGGAACAAGCAGCATGTAAACAAGGCATTGCACATGTGTCAGAAATCAAATGAACATGTATGCATAATAACTATACAAAAATAACAAAACAGTAAATGATAAAGTATTTAAGTATCAGCCAGTAGTAAATAGTAAACGTAGTTATTGCAAGGAGTTATTTTAAAAGTGTTGTTCTGTAGTTAAGTGCTGCTAAAATAATAATTATAATAGTAATATAGTATATTTACTCGAGTGCTGTACTTAAGAACAGTACAACCTCACCGTGGCCGTAAAGACCGTGAGAAGACGGTCCAGAATTTGCACCACAGAAGGGACATTTACAGCAAAGGGGACAGTGAGGGTGGGACATAAAAGGTATTAAAGAAGCAAGCACACGTTAACAGTCCTAATATGTTTTAAATTAACAAAATGTGCTTTTTCTTGTAACGAACAAACAGCTAAAACATCAACAAGGGTCTCTCCTCTGCCGGTTAATCAGGTCTTTGTCCAATCATCCTACGCTTCTCCTTCATCCTTTTCTTTCTTCCAACACTGATAATGATCTAAAGTCCACACAGCTGATCCTCCTCAGACCACAGGAGACCCTCACAGGACGGATACAGACTCAAGTTGAGTGAACTGGGTTTAAAGAGGCACAAAAGCAACAATGTTCATCAATACTAGAAATACCAATGAACAAATCTTTACTGTTTGAGAGAGAGAGGTCTTTCACAGCTGGTAATTGGGACTTTCTATCAATCCTCCACAGTTCTGTTGTTGCTACCTGCAGTCGGGATGCACACTGATATCGGCATGTCAGCGCCATTGGAAGATAAGGGATTTCAGATTAAATATCGGACAGAAGTGAACATTTCCTCCAATTATAAATGGGTGGTAAAACACTGGTAATCCAAGGGTTTTAAAGAAGGAGGGATGTTTCTGTTTTGTTTGGAAAGTGATTAGGCGCTTTCACACCGTAGTACTTTTCCCACAAAGGTTCATGAGAACTTAGTTCATCAGAACTCTTTAGTTCTCATGAACTAAGTACAGATCGCGTTCACACCGGAATAAGTTCCCTGAGGGAGGATTAGGCAAATGAAGCCGCTGACGTCACTTCGTCTTCTTCTGCTTTGGGTTTACTGGCAGGCCGCAAACCACTTCACGGCGTATACTGCCACCCGAAGTCCCCGGCCGGAAGTCCCCGGAGTTGGGGACTGGCTTCAGTAGAAGCTGCTGGGACTCCCTGCAGCTTCTACTGAAGCCTTCCGAGTAAATCGCCAGAATGCCGACACCTCCTCATCTCCACCGCTCCCATGTTTTCTTTTGTGTTGCCATAAATTAGTCTCTCTGCGTTTCTGCGCTGGGCTAATGCTAATGCTAATAATGCTAATGCGAGTATAATAAAATGGCGGCTTCACAACACTTTTTGGGAGTTTTACGGGGCGTGGTTTGCAATCCGCCCAGCCAATCAGACATAGGAACCTTTTTCTCCCACGAAAGTACCTGCTCTCTAGCAGGGACTGAAAAGGGGGTGAAAAGGTTCTCATGAACT